CATATATCTGCTTGGATGTCAGCTATGGTCTCTTCACGGTATATTCCCAGTACTCACTGCTCTTTAAGTATCACGTTGAGTTTGATTCACAGTAACCCTCACTGGGTTTCTCAGACTGTACATATTTACAAAAGAGTACTGCCCATTTTTCTCCCATAGAGTGGCTGGTGGATTTGAGTCACTAAACTTTCAGTTAACCTGACACATTGTGCACTATAGCACAAGAGCTCATTACTTTATTTGTGATAGCCCGAAACTGTGGTACGTCCATCCTGTGGAATACTTACTAATCAGCCGTAAGAAGGAATGAATAGCTGATACACACAAAATTATAAATTAATCTCAAAAGTATTGTGCTAAGTAGGAAAAAGCCTCAGATAAATAAGTATATAAGATCCGTTTATGTAAAATTCTAGGAAATATAAATCTTTAGTATTAGAAAGTTGATTAGTTGAATTTGAAGTAACCTAGAGGTAGATGGTATATGCGAAAACGTTCTGTATCATGATCATCGTAATGTTAACATAGCCATGCATGTGTGGAAACTCAGTAGACACTTTAAATCGATGAATTTACTATATGAAAACTGTACATACAGCAGATTTTTTACAAGTTAAATGTTACTATCTTTGATCCTAAAGGAAATGGGCCTTTATTATTAGTTCTGAAATTTCCACTCACTGATAGGGATGGATATAGCTTATGCTGTTCATAAATTAAGTAAAGTCATTTCATTTCTGTTTTCAGAGACAGAGGAGATGGGTGATGAAGAAGTTTTCTCCTGGTTGAAATGTGCAAAAGGACAATCTCATGAACCAGAGAACCTCATGCCCACACAGATCATCCCTGGCACAGGTAAGGGAATGGTTTTTTTTTCTTTTTCATTTTATTATTTTTTTGTGTGTACCGTCAAATCAGATCTGACTCGTACAGGGGGAGATTGTCCCTCCTTCTCCAGCAGAGCATCTTGTGGATTCAAACCATGTACTTCTGGGATTACAGTGTAGCTTCTTGCCACTAGGCCACCAGAGCTCACCGGGATTTTTTTTTATAGCAAATATACAAAAAGGGTGCTCTGGTGGTCTAAGGGTAAGAAACTGCATTGCAGTCTCCAAGGCCCTTGATTTAAATTTACCATTTGCTCCGTTGGAGAGTGATGGGCAGTCTCCTTCTGTGCTATTACTGCCTCTGAAAACCCGCTGGAGTGTCAGCTGTGGATCAGTACACAACAACAACATAGCAAATATGCATTATTTAAACTGTACACCTTTGTGAAAGCAGATTGAGGCTCAATTGGCATCAGCACTAAACAAAGGGAAGTAGGATATTTATCCATTTTATGTTGTGCATTGGAGGTAGTCACTCACCATAGTTTCAGGAAATTCATTTTTAAGGCATAGTGAAGATAATAATTTTTTAATTGGCATATAATTCATACAACATAAGTCTTAGTAAGGGTTTATCTCAGCCTTTATTTTTAGATCCTTATCTCATTCCTCTGAGGATCTGAATCTTTAGATGTATGTTAGATTTCATGCTCTCAGTTCATACTCTGTCCTCTCTTGCTTATCAGAAAATATGATCACTTTTCCAGATATCATTTCACATTCCAGTAGTTGGTAGGACCAGAATGGAAAAGCCAATTTCCAGACGTCCGTCTTGTTTTGGTCTGGTAAAAATTGAGCTGAATGTAATCAAATCTGTTGAGTTCCCAGGGAAGGTATTTGACAATATAGTAGGCATTTGTCATAGTTAACTTCAGTGATTCCTGCAGAAAAGCAATATGCCTGGGCTTCTACATACATGCACTGAAGATGGTAACTGGGCTCAACTACTGCCTACATTCTCTTCCATCTAGGAAGGCTTTAGGACCAACACCACCAGGGACCTCTATACTTCAGTGCTTTTAAACAGAAGGGCCTGCTACTGCTCAGGCACTGCTTGTTGTTGTTGTTGTCTTTGTTTTTTCATGTGTAACTTAAGTACATAAATTTCAAGTATACAGTGTAGAGTATCATATGTATAATTTTTAAATACTTGAACATTGAGAAATCTACCCCTAAATTTTGTTCTGGAGCACATGTCTTGCCAATGTTTACAAAAGAAAGAAGAGAATATAGCTTAGTAGATAAAGTGCATAGGACTTTGTTGTTGTTAGATTCCATCCGGTTGAATACAACTCATAGTGACCTTGTGAACAACGGATCTGAACCCTGTCCTATCCTGTACATCCTCATTATCTCTGACACACTTGAGTAGGTTCTTAGCACAATACCTGGAACATAATGGCATTCTGATGTTGTTATTATCTTTTTTCCAGCTCTTGACGCAGGCATTGTCTTTTTTTTTTTAATATATATTTATTTCTTGTTTATTTGTTGTCAATGAAGCAAGCATATTCTACCAGTTTCATTACTGCATGTAAGCAAATGACCTCACTTCACTGAACTTCAGTTTTATTATAAAAAAATTCAGAATAAAAACAGCTACCTGATTGGAATATGATAAAGATTAAGAGAGATAATGTGTATAAGGTTCTTAGCAAAATACCTGGCACATATAAGCATTCTGATGTTATTATTGTTATCTTTTTTTTTCCAGCTCTTTACAATATTGGAGACATGGTACATGCTGCCCGGGGCAAGTGGGGGATTAAAGCAAACTGCCCTTGTATTAGTCGGCAGAATAAATCTGTTTTGAGACCTGCTGTCACCAATGGGATGTCACAGGTAGAGTGGTATGTGGGGTGTAATTGTAAGTGAAGCTTACATTCTTAGTACTAAGAAATTCCCTCTCATCATCTTCATTGTCCTAGTTACTACAGCCTTTCTAGGAAACCTGTTGCCACTAGTTGATTGCAACCCTTAGAAACCTTACAGAGCAGAGTAGAAGTTCCCCATGCAGTTTCCATAGCTACAGTCTCTACAGAAGCAGGGTGCCACGTCTTTCTCCTACTGAGTAGCTGGTGAGTTCAAACTGCTGACTTTTCAGTTAGCATCCAAGCTCTTTAACCACTATGCCACCAGGGATGTTTATCCTTTCTAAAGAGGACACCCCACCTACACAAGAGAGTTACGTAAGGGATTGTATTATTCCTCCTGACTGGCACAGGTTTATTTTCATTAATTAAAACACTTCAAGTTTGGTTGATAAATAATGCCAAGAGATTTACTGCATCTTGTTGGTAGAGTTGACTTACTAAAACTAGTCATTTGGAAAATTTAGTAATAATAAACATTTGTTGAGCACTTAGGGATGCAGGAGTCTGGTGGCACATTCCACGCAGAGTTGCCCTGCTAACCCAAAGGTGGCATCTCTGCTATTTCAGTCCACCAACAGCTCCGAGGGGCAGTCTTCTGTGATTTACATCCTGCAAAAGTCGGTTCCAATTTGACAGCAATGAGTGTAAGGGTTTTTTTATGTGTGCCAGACACTATGCTAAGCCCTTTGCATATACAATCTCGTTTAATCATCGTAACAATTCTGTGAGGTCACATTATCATTGCCAATTTACCATTAAGGAAATTGAGTCTCAAACATAGTAAATAAAAGCTTTTTTTACTAGAGATCTAGCCTGGTTTCTAGCATCCTATAGTACACAACATTCTATGTTGAATGAGTAAATGATATAGCCATATAGAGACAGTTTCACCTTGTTCTTCCCAAAACTATTTAGTGTCAACAACTATTTGGATTTTTTTTTCTACCCAGCAATAGTACTCCAACCATATTGGCCTCTGTGTTTCAGCTTCCTAGCATAAACCCTAGTGCCTCTTCTGGAAACGAAACCACCTTCTCAGGGGGAGGAGGAACAGCAGCTGTAACAGTTCCAGAATCTGACCATATTCCTAAAGCAGACAGCACTGACATCAGACCTGAGGAACCCCTGAAAGCAGACGGTTCAGCATCAGGCAGCAATAGTGAGCCAAAAGCCATCAGGCCTCCCTGCCCGGACACAGCCCCACCCTCTTCTGCCCTGCACTGGTTGGCGGATTTAGCAACTCAGAAGGCTAAAGAGGAAACAAAAGGTGAGATAAAAACTAAACACCAGCCTAGCAGGCAGGCATTCTGGAATTCTTAAAACTCACACATAACCATCTACATTTGATGGCTGGTCAAATAAAACAAGGAAGTCATTTTCAACTTTTTTCTAAAAGTAGGGCTTTTTGGTTTAGGTTTATGTTTTTTAAAAGGCATATTCCTGAACTCTACCCCAGAATTTCTTAGAGTTGATACAGGTTTCTAAGGTCTCTCTAGATGATTCTGTTAGGCCATTGAGAGCTAGACTTTTGAGTGTGACTCTTGAATACTTTTGCCTGTGTTCAGAGAACACCTGGAGAATCTGTGTGGATGCAGATTCTTGTCCCCCACCAAAAACTATGAAATCAAGATTCTCCATTTCTAGCAAGTTCTCCAGGAACCTCATTGCAAATATTCTGGAAACCTACTTGAATCATTGTTGACTTAGGAAGTAAGGGAGATAAAAAGTGGTGGAAACACAGAGAATGTTGAAATCATGATCTGGAACAAATAATAAAAAGTAGGAAAGCCTCTCTTTGGCCATGGACCCTCCCAGATTCATAGGTAGTCAGGCTGAATGCAGCCAAGCAGTACTGGGGCAGGAGTGACAGGGAGGAAGTAAGAGCCTTTCCTCCTACCTGCTTGGCTGATTGTTAGGAGTTAGTTTCCTGCTGAACATTCCTTGTCGTACCTAATGCTCTTCCTGGTTATGTTCTTACAGAAGCTGGGTCCCTGAGGTCGGTGCTCAATAAAGAATCTCATTCACCCTTTGGGCTGGATTCGTTCAACTCCGCTGCAAAGGTCTCTCCGTTAACTCCAAAGCTTTTCAACAGTCTATTACTGGGTCCTACTGCCTCCAACAACAAAAATGAAGGCTCTAGCCTTCGAGACCTCCTTCACTCTGGGCCTGGAAAGCTTCCTCAAACTCCCTTGGACACAGGCATACCCTTCCCCCCGGTCTTCTCCACATCTTCAGCTGTAAGTTCCTCATTATAACTCCAGCTTATACTGCTTTTCGATGAAAGAACTGTCAGGAACCTCATGACTGGGTTAGAGGGCATGTGGGTGATTGTTGTTCTCTACATTAACTGTCCATTTGACAGGATCTCCTTTTTAAGGGTTAGAATTTTGTTGTTGTTATTACGTGTCGTTGAGTCTCTTGCAACTCATAGCAACCGTATGTACTAGAGCCCTATACCCTGCTCTATCCTGAGCCAACCTTATTGTCTCTGACACAGTTACCCCCATTATGCCAGTAACTGAATCGATCCATCTCATCGAGGGTCTTCCTGTTTGCACTGTACCTCCACCCTCCCAAACATGATGTCCCTCTGCAGGTACTGGTCCCTCCTTGCAACATGTCCAAAGTATGTCAGACGGAGCTTCAGAATCCTTGCCTCCAAGGAGCAGCCTGGTCTCAGCCTCTCTAGGACGAACCTGTTTGTTTTCCTAGTAGTCCATGGTATATTCAGTAGTCTTCTCCAGCACCACAGCTTAAAGGCATGAATTCTCTTTCTATCATCCCTAGTCATTGCCCAGCTTTCTGGTGCATAGCACGCAATTGTGAAGACTATGGCCTGGATCAGGATCAGGTACACCTTAGTCTCCAGCCTGATGTCTCCAGTCTCCTACTGTTCTTCAGTACTCTGGAGATGTCATTGACAGCGACTTTCCCAATGCAATTTGTCTCTTGATTTCCTGGCTGCTGGTATGAAAAGTGTTGATTGTGGAACCAGTTTTTAGATAGTGAACTTTTTGTTCCATCTTAGGAAGTCAGTGGGAATTGAGCTGTTGCAAATTTCTGTCATCTACAGAAAACAACATATGAGCAAGAGCCTATGGTGATGAAAGAAGAAGTTCAGGCTGCTTTGAAGGAAATGGCAAAAAATAAGGCTCCAGGAATAGATGGTGTACCAATTGACATATTTCAGTTAACAGGTGCTGCCATGGACGTGCTCACCAAATTGTGCCAAGAGATCTGGAGAACGACCGCTTGACCAACTGACTGGAAGAGATTGATATTTGTTCCTATCCCAAAGAAAGGTGACCCAACAGAATGTGGAAACTACAGAACAATCTCACTGATTTCACATGCAAGCAAGATTTTACTGAAGATTATCCAAAAACAACTAGAACAGCACATCAACAAAGAACTACCAGAAGTCCAGGCTGGGTTTAGAAGGGGTTGTGGTACTAGAGATTTTGTGGCTGATGTTAGATGGATCTTGGCTGAAAGCAGGGAATACCAGAGGAATGTCTGTCTGTGTTTCATTGACTATGCAAAGGCATTTGACTGTGTAGATCACAACAAACTATGGCTGACTCTGAGAAGAATGGGAATCCCAGAACACTTGATCGTTCTAATGCGAAACTTATACTTGGACCAGGAGGCAGTTGTCAGAACAGAGCAAGGGAACACTGCATGGTTCAAAATTGGGAAGGGCGTACACCAGGGATGCATCCTATCTCCATACCTTTTCAACCTATATGCAGAACAGATTATCCAGGAGGCTGGGCTCTATGAGGAGAAATGTGGGGTCAAGATTGGTGGACGATTTATCAACAATCTGCATTATGCGGATAACACAACTCTGCTTGCTGAAACTGAAGAGGACCTGAAGTGCCTGCTGCAGAGTGTCAAGGACTGCAGCCTACAATATGGATTGAGGCTCAATGTCAAGAAGACAAAGATTCTCACCACTGGACCAATTGGCAGCATCAGGATGGATGGTGAAGAGATTGAGATTGTACACAGCTTTAGTTTGCTTGGCTCCATAGTCAACAGTCTTGGCACCAGCAGCCAGGAAATTAAAAGGTGCATTGCAATGGGAAAGTCTGCTGTTAGGGACCTCTCCAAAGTGCTGAAGAGCAATGGTGTCTCTTTGGAGACTAAGGTGCGTCTGATACAGGCCATGGTCTTCGCAATCACCTGTTATGCATCAGAGAGTTGGACAGTGACCAAGGAGGATAGAAGGAGAATTGATGCCTTTGAGCTGTGGTGCTAGAGAAGAGTATTCATAATACCATGGACTGCTAGGAAAACAAACAGATTTGTCCTGGAAAGGGTTAAACCAGGTGGCTCCTTGGAGGCAAGGATTCTGAAGCTCCGTCTAACATACTTTGGACATGTTGTGAGGAGGGACTGATCTTTGGAGAGGGACATCATGCTTTTACTATGTTTAGCAATTTTTTCCCCTTAACAATAGAAGGCAGTTCTTTAAAAAAAAATTGATTACTGGGCTTACCATCACATGCAACTACTATTTTGTAGTACATATAAGGCAGAAGGGATGGAAGTAGATGTAGGCAGCATTTAAGGAAACACTCCCATCCTGTCCAGAGTTATTCCAGAGTTGCTTTAAGGAATCTGCTCCCCAGCTTTCCCCTGTTCAAGGATTTCATGCATGAGCAGATTGGGGCCCTTTGAATATGTACAAATAAAATCCAACCCCCATTTGACAAGGAGAGAAAGAAAAGTATGTTAAAAAAAAACCAACAAACAAACAAATACACCTAGCCAGTACATTCATATTGTATTCTCTTGGATATCTAATGTTGTTGTTATATGCCTTCAAGTCACCTACTACACATAGTGACCCTGTGTACAACAGCACAGAACCCTGCTCTATCCTGAGCCAGCCTCATTTTCTCTGATACCCCTACCCTCTTTACGCCAGTCACTGAGTCAATCCATCTCATCGAGGGTCTTCCTGTCTTGCACTGTTCCGTCACACTTCAGTGCATAATGTCCCTCCCCAAGGACTGATCCCTCCTTGCAACATGCCCAAAGCATGTGAGACAGATCTTCAGAATCCTAGCCACCAAGGAGCAGCTTGGTTTTACCCTCTTTAGGATGAACCAGTTTGTTCTCCTAGCAGTCCGTGGTATATTCAGTACTCTTCTCTAGCACCACAGCTCAAAGGCATCAATTCTCCTTCTATCATCACTAGTCTTTGTCCAGCTTTCTGACACATAGCAAGTAACTGCGAAGACCATAGCCTGGATCAGGCGCACCTTAGTCTCCAGACATTGTTGACACCTCAAATCAAACACATCGAAGACCAAATTACTGATCCTCCCATAAGCCTGTTTCTTTTCTTTTTACTGTGATTTTAACAAAAGTTTACAGAAAAGTTGGCTTTTCATTCATTGTTCCACATTTTCCTCCCTAGCCCTCCAGTTCACTTTTTTAAAAAAATATCAGTCAGGTGAGCTCTGGTGGCCTGGTGGCAAGAAGCTGCACTGCAATCCCAGAGGTGTGCAGTTCAAATCCACCAGATGCTTTGCTGGAGAAGGAGGAACAATCTCCTTCTGTATCAGTCAAATCTTATTTGATGGTACACACACACAAATAATAAAAATAAATTTTTTTAAAAAGTTTAAAAAAAAATATCAGTCATTGTTCCATAATTTCCTCCTTCCTCCCTGCCCCTCCCCCGTCCATTTTGCTATGTGTTCTTCCTTTAGTTTCCCTCTCTCGGTGGACCTCCTCTCCATCACATTTTGTATCTTAACTATCAGCAAATCTTTTCCATTTGATCTTCAAAATATATTTGGAATCCATCCATTTCTCAGCATTTTCACTATTTCTCTTATTTGAGCAATTATCATCTCTTGTATGAATTTTTAGAGTAACATTGTTCAGTCTCCTTGGTTCTACCTCTTTCCATTATTCTCAGCACAGCAGTTGAGAGTGATGCTGTACCTCCTCTGGAAATGAAACCATCTTCTTAGGTAGAAGAGAAACTACAGCAATCTGAACCCCGCCATGTTCCTGAAACTAGTATCTGATGACAGGTCTTATCCCCTTTGCCTAAAAATCTTCTAAGGGCTTCCTACTTCTCTCTTAAAAAGGGTCACAAGACCTTAACCCTGACTGATCTTGGCTTTATCACTCAGACTTCAGCTCCCTTTGTCCCCCTTACTCACTTTGCTCTAGTCATACCAGCCTCCTTGATGTTCTGTGAACATGGCCAGGCATGCTCCCTCTTCAGGGCCTTTGTGCCCTTGTTCTCTTACCTTAGAAATTCTCTTTCCCATGTAACCATATAGCTTGCTCTGTCATCGGCCTCCTCCACTTGAGAATATCACCTCCTGAGTAAGCCTTGTTAGATCACCTTCACCCTTTATCAAAGTTCATTTCACTCTCATTCTTCACACATACCTGTTTTCTCTTTAATTTTCATTCATATGTATTTTACTTATTGTCTCTTTCCTGTCCTTAAAAACAGGGATATTTTACTGGAGGAGGTATTTTAGGGGTTTTTTCATTACAGTATTACTAGCCCACAAAGTGTTTGATACATAGTAAACATTTAGTGAATGAGTTCATTAACATAGTACAAAATTTGAAAGATATAAAGGATTTTCTTGTAAGAAATCACCTTCCTGTCCCTGTCTCCCAGTTTATTAATTTCCTTTCTGGAGGTCATCAGAAGTTACTGAGTATCCTTTTTACAAATAGCTTCAATACCTTTTCCTTTTTTTAATATTTTTGTTAATTTTAATGAAAGTTTACAGAGACTTTGGAATTCCATTCATTCAGTGTTGCACTTTTCTCCCTGCCCATTCCTCCCCTCCAGTTCGCTTTTCTCTTTGAAAAGTCAAAGAAAAATTCTTTGTTATACAATCCCTCCCCCTAAGTCCATTCCACTATGCAGTCTTCATTCTGAACTCCTATCATAACAATAATATCTAATCATATATCCCTTTTAAACAGTTCTCTCCCTCATCTGTTTCAATGCAGTATACATTATTTATCCCATTTTTCTCAGTCTCTCCCCAACCCCAATGTCAGTCCCGTTTTACAACAGTGGCGCTGCACTATGCAGTATTTGTCCTTTTGTGACTGAGATATTTCACTCAGCATAATATCCTCCAGGGTCACTCATTTATTATAATATTTCGTGAATTCCTTGTTTTTCAATACATCATAGTATTCCATTGTGTGAATATACCAGAGCTTCTTTATCCATTTGTTTGTTAATGGGCACTTGGATTGTTTCCAACTCTTTGCTATTGTAAACTAAGCCGTGATAAACATGGGTGTGCATATATCTGCTTAAGTGATGGTTATGGTTTCTTTAGGTCAATACCTTTTCTGTTTTCTCAGTTTATATCTTAGACAGCATTTTATAAATATATAGTTCTATATTTATATAGACAGCATTTATATATATGTTGTTGTTGATTGCCATCAAGTTGAGCATGACTCATAGTGACCCCATGAACAAAAGGCCTGAAGCCCCTCTACAACTATCAATATATATCAAAGTTCATAGGCATGTTATTTAGGAAGTGGATACCCTGCTTCCAGACCTGTCATAGTATGTTATTGTTGTTATGTACCTTTAGAGTCACCTGTGATAATATAGCGACCTGTGTACAGCAGCTCTGAACCTTTCCCTGTCCTGAGCCAGTCTTACTAATTCCGACACACCAAACCCCATTGCCTCATTTGCTATATCAATCCCATCTCATGCAGGGTATAAGTATATAAATATTTTTCTGACTCTAGATTAAGGGCCAATATTTATGAACTATGTATGCCCTAAACAATTTGAAGTATTTCTTCTGAATAAATAAGGAAGGAGGGAAAACCCAATTATCTTGGCCTCTGTTTTGTTTGTACATCTTCTTACGCTGTTTTTTTTTTTTTTACTTTTTCATTTTTCGAGGATGTTTAGTGGTTACACGTGCAGAGATAGTATTATTGACAGTTCAAGTTTGGTATTACTATGTTTACAGAAGCTCCCCACTTTCTTCCATCTTGTAACCTTACATATATTACTTCCATCTCTGGGCTTGAGCTTTCTTTTCTTCTGGTATAGATTCAAGATTCTCAGTTGGGTAACAGTGAGGCAAGAATTGGGAAATGGCACACTGCTTTCAGAATGTACAGTTCACCTAGGGACTTCAGCACACCCCTTTATTAGGGCGTACAGCCTGGGAGAAAACCACTCTCTTTATAAATCACACCAGTTATTTAATTGAAATATTGTATTCCTTTTGCATACAAACTAAATTCTATCCTTCACTTCATTACTACATTTTGTGATCCTGAAATCTATTTACATATAGGTAATACAGGACTAAATACCTAAGATAATTTCCTAGAACTCAAATCTCTTGAGGCCCAGGGGATTATTCTGTACCTTCTTTTATAAATTTAAGATAGAGGGTGAAGGAGAAAATTTGAGACATAGACTTAAGAGCTTCCCCTCCGATTATAAAGGACATTCAAATAAATTAGATAATTTAATCAGATAGGTCTTTCTTGTAAATAAAGCTGTTTAACAGATTTTTGGATGATCTTCTCATGATGCCTCAGTCAAGCTTTCCTGATGGTCTTTTACCCAGCAGGGAGTGAAGAGCAAGGCCAGCCTGCCCAACTTCCTTGATCACATCATTGCCTCAGTGGTAGAAAATAAGAAAACCTCAGATGCTGCAAAACGGGGCTGTAATATGACTGATACCCAGAGGGAGGTGAAGGAGATGGTGATGGGTCTAAACGTGCTAGACCCCCATACTTCTCACTCCTGGCTCTGTGATGGGAGACTTCTGTGTCTCCATGACCCCAGCAACAAAAACAATTGGAAGATCTTCCGGGAATGTTGGAAACAAGGCCAGGTGAGAAAAATACAAGTTGTTCTGGAGACTAGCTATCTGCCTGTGTTACTGTCAGTAGTTTCTAGGTCATTGTGGGAGACCTTTTGTCAGAAAGATTTAGACTTAGTATCTATCTATATCTAATTCCTTGTAGACAGACAACCTTTCTACTTGGAACTGCCTCAGGTTTTTAAAAACCAAAAAGATTCTTAAAACTAGATAGTAGATCCTTTTCTTCTAAACTGTGTAACTCATTCTTTTAAAAAGGCCATTGATGAAAAAGAATGTATTCAAACTTTATAAATAAACCAGTATAAAAATTTTTTAAAAGGCAATTAAAATTTCTATGAAGTGGAATGTTAATATTGATGACACTTTGCAAGGAAATCCTCCAGAGTGGCTGATACTTTCTTTTTTTTTATTTTTATTAAATTTAATGAACATTTACAGAGATTTTGGGTTTCCATTCATTCATTGTTGCACTATTTTCTCTACCCTCCTCCCCAGTTCGTTCCTCTTTTTTTCCCCCTTGAAAGTCTGTTTTAATTGTCCCATTGCCACAGTGCTTGTCAAAGCCAGTTCTGATTAATCTCCTTTGTCGTTGTGTCCTTTGCCATTCCCTATCACTCCTCCCTGAGAGAGACTTCACCCTGATTCATAAGGAAATGGGGATGGTGTATTCTCTTAGCTACTTCCTGCTGAAAGGGGGCGCTGTGGGTTTCAGGGTGAAGATCTTCTCTCACTATTCTAAAGGGCCCCTTTGGCAATAGGAAACACATAGACAATTATGGAGATTGATTTTGGAATTTAGATGCACTTGGCTGATACTTTCTATGTAAATGTTTCAAAAACACACACTCCCAGATATCACTCCCAGATTTTTTCATTTCAGGAGGTGCAGCAGGAGGAGGGGAGTTTTGGATTGTCTTGATGTTAGAGATTAACTGGATAGTTTTCCAGTTTTGATGTGAAGAAGTGTTCACATGGTTGGATTTGTCATCATTTTTTGGTCCCCTCACTTAAAACACAGAGGTCAATAGATACCAGAGCGCTGAAGTAATTTATATGGCATGCTCTTCAGGGTGAGAATTAAGTATAATAATAGGGAAGAAACAGTTTCTGTTGCTTTAACTGACAAGCTGAAAACCACTCTAAAATTTGGAAAGAACAGATCAGTGTGGGAGAGAAGAGCCTGTCTTCAAGGAACCCTCCTATTCTCTCCCTTACGCGTAAGAGGTAAACTCACAGCCAAGTCCACTGCCATCAAGTCCATTCTAACTCATAGCCACTCACTTTGGGGTTTCAGAAGCTGTACATTTTAATGGAAGCAGACTACTCCCTCTTTCTCCTACAGAGTGGTACATTCAAACCACTGACTTTTTGTTTAGAAACCCAGCATGTAATCTGCTAAACAGGGCTCCTTCTAAAACTAAAGTGTTTCCAATTTTAATACTTTTTTCCCCACAGCCAGTGCTGGTTTCAGGGGTACATAAAAAACTCAAGTCTGAACTCTGGAAGCCAGAAGCCTTTAGCCAGGAATTTGGAGACCAAGACGTGGACTTGGTGAACTGCAGGAACTGTGCTATCATTTCCGATGTGAAAGTTCGGGATTTCTGGGATGGCTTTGAGATTATATGCAGTAAGTAATTGGGTATCTGGCTCAGTAAGAGGGGAAGTGAGCATCTAGTCACCCAGCCTTGCCCCGAGAAAGGCTTCACAAATTACATCCTCTTTCTGGAGGAACATTCTTCCCTGAGGCTGTGCTGCGTGTAGCCTGCACAGTAGCTGCATTGCTCCCAGAGCATGTCTGGGCTCTGGCACCTGATCCTAGGAGGTGTGTGGAACACTTTCATGCTGAGGAAGGCGGGCAGAACCCCCATGAGACAGAAATGTGTGGCATGTACTACAGCAGAGGGCAAGCAGAGCAAAGACACTCTAGTCTATTAAAGAGATTTACAAGCCTGAAAGAAAGAGGCTAATCTAAAACTTTCACTCACTGGAAAATCTGGCAGTAGCCCATCAGCAGATGTGTGTCAGTGCTTTCTGTTTTCCAGAGCGACTAAGGTCAGAAGACGGACAGCCAATGGTGCTCAAGCTCAAGGACTGGCCGCCTGGGGAAGATTTTCGAGACATGATGCCAACAAGGTTAGTTTGAGCCAGAGATTTGATCCTTTAAGGACATTGTGACGTAACTACAGAAAAGTGAACATTGCCTCTACTTTTTTCCCCTCAGTAACAAGTTAAGTCATCTTTTGTGCCATTTTGTAGGTTTGAAGATCTCATGGAGAACCTTCCTCTTCCAGAATATACCAAACGAGATGGGAGGCTCAATCTAGCCTCTAGGCTGCCGAGCTACTTTGTAAGGCCTGATCTGGGCCCCAAGATGTACAACGCCTATGGTATGAGGGAGAGGCCGTATTGCTGATTTGGGGCACTTAGTTTATCTAGAAAAACCATCCAAAGCACCCTGTTCTCATTTCACTTGGGTGGGATCTGTGGTCAGGGTCCTGTGTGGAGGTGAAGGCAGGTGATAGGCTCTGGAGAAGTTAAAAATACCAAGGGCAAGAGAGCTCTGGTGACCTAGTGGCAATCCCAGTGGTACATGGTTTGAATCCACCAGATGCTCGGCTGGAGAGGGAGGGGCATTCTCCTCCAGTACCAGTCAGCTCCAGTTTGACAGTACACACACACAAAGTAATAAAATAAAAAATACCAAGGGCAGCTTTGAATATGTTTGCATCTTTTCAAAAAATGTTTGAATATTTTATAATTTAACATAATCTTCATCATTATTTCTATTACATCAGCTATTCACATAGGGCTTTTTCCCCTTTCATATTTTCTATCCCTGTTAATAGAGTTTGCCTTTGTTGTTTGGTGCTGTCGAGTTAGTTTGACTATAATGACCCTGTGTACTGAGTATGTTTGCTTTTGTTGTATTGATCTGCATAACAGTCATATGGACGCAGTCCATGTGTCTCTGCTAGTTACAAAGTTTCCTCTCAAAAATTAGAGCCAGGGAGACAGAATTTTTCCGTTTTAAGAGACTTGATAACATGACAGTAAAGTAGTTATTCAGTGAGCTATTTATGAGGTTTTAGTGATATGCAAATGAATGCCTACCTTTATTTGAATGTCATAAATGTCCATTTAGGGAACTCTGGTGGTGTAGTCTAACCCAAAGGCAGCACGTCTTCCACAGTTCAGATTTGCAAGGGAGAAAATGGACATTTTCCATCCATGTGATTTGCCACCTCAGAAGCCCAATAGAGAGGGTCAGCTATGAGTTGATTCTGACTCAACAGCAGTGAATTTTGCATTTTTTTAAAGAAGAGAGAGCTTTTGGGGGATGGAATGGATTCTGCGGCCAAAGCAAAGTGGAATATTAATCTAGCTAGAAAATCATTCTTAAAACAGTATAAAATAAACAAGTTAGCTTGACTATCTCAGTGGACTAATTTAAGACCACTGTTGGGCCTATATAGATTCTGTTTTCTATATGGTATGGTCTATATTCTTCAAAATATTACTCCTCCTTCACCTTACATATCTTTATGTTATCTTTAGGTTTGATAACCGCAGAAGATAGACGTGTTGGTACAACAAATCTTCACTTAGATGTGTCTGATGCAGTTAATGTGATGGTGTATGTTGGAATTCCCATCGGGGAAGGTGCTCATGATGAAGGTACAATTTCTAGACCTCACTGTTTCCCAATGGAGAATCATGGCCTTGGAGTAGAAATAGCTGTCATCTTCATCAGGCAGGTCCACTGGCTTTTTCTCAAGCCTGATGTGTATTGTGGCACCACAATACAATGAGAAATTCTAGCAGAGTACGCTAGTCGTAGCTCCAAAGTCATTCTCTTCCTTGGAATGCAGCCGTTCCCCCTCAATTTATAGTATCACAGACAGGTATGAGGGAAAAGGACAAAGTGGTCAGCTTAGCCTATCAGCTGGGTCAGCTATGGCTTTATCATTAAATGATAGATCAAAAACCAGGTCACCTGCCTGAAAATGAAGCTTGAAAGTGATATTTTACCACATTCGCACTCCCTAGCACTAGTGTTAAAGTTAGTTAATAGGTACTCATTATGGACATTTTGGAAAATGAAGACAATTTTAAGAAAATCACTTAAAATTTCAGGAATAACATATCATTATTTTGTTTTAGTTCCTAACATTCATTTGCTTTTGATGCTGCACACCTGTAGATTCTTCTGTTATGTTGTCTTTTAGCAGATTGTAATTGTCAAGCACTGGAAACCAACCCTCTTAACAGTCCATAAAAGCTTTATGCTTTATGGGTTTGAACTCAAAGAATCCTAGAATTTAAAAAGGCCTTGAGAAAGTTTACGTCTACTGTTATAGCTATTCAGTTGGAGCAAAAAGAGTGTTTTAAAGAAAAGTGTACCTCTACAGAGTGGAAGCTCTATTTGAAAAGGGTTTAGTGTCATTCTCCCTGTGTGTGAGGAGCTTAGACCAATAGGAGTTTTAATCCTTTCGTTCTACCATATTTTTCTTCAGAGAAGTGAAGAGTGCTAGAAACTAATCTTACTTGAAATTGGACATTTTGCTCCCCTTGGAGATGCTGCAGTGACTGGTTACATTGGAAAATGTCTTATCTTTTCAGAAGTACTCAAGACTATTGATGAGGGAGATGCTGATGATGTGACAAAGCAGAGGATTCATGATGGAAAAGAAAAGCCAGGTGCTTTGTGGCACATCTATGCAGCCAAGGATGCAGAAAAGATTCGGGAGCTGCTTCGGAAGGTATGACTTTGTGTGAGGGCTGCTCCCAGGTGAAGGATCTGGGAAATGGCATGTCTGCAGTTTCTGACGTGGAGTCCCCTGGCATGATACCTCATATCACATGCTCTAAAGACCAGAATCTACACAGAGGGGATGTTGAATGGAATCAAGCAGAAACTCTGGCCCACTCACAATGTTATTGCAGCAAATCGGGTTTGTGCCGCCTAAAGTTTTTTATGTTTGTATCTGTTTTATTTTGGTCATGGTTTTAGGTTGGAGAAGAGCAAGGCCAAGAAAATCCCCCTGATCACGACCCAATTCATGACCAAAGTTGGTACCTGGACCAGACCCTCCGTAAGCGACTCTATGAGGAGTATGGCGTGCAAGGTTGGGCCATTGTACAGTTCCTGGGGGATGCTGTCTTCATACCTGCTGGAGCCCCGCACCAAGTGAGTAGCTGCTCTAAGCATTGCCTGCTTTATTTCTTTTCCATTTTCTTCTTTACAACTGTAAATGCTTCTTTATAAAAATTTTAAAGGGAAATTCAAGCCTATCTCCTTCTCCTTCCCATTCTGTTTCCCTGACCCAGAGCTAGCCTACAGTTAACTATAGTGTGTATACGCGTACTATATTTCCAGACTTTTATACTTTTCTTAGTTGTTTTTTCGGGTTTTTATGTTTTAAATGAAAGTATGATAATAGTATTCCTATATTTGGGTTTTATTTTATTTTTTTAATATTTGTTTTTTAAAGTATATCATGGACATTGTCCATATATTAATGTCTATAATATCTGATGTATTCTCTTTCCCCACCTCATCCCAGGTTCACAATCTCTACAGTTGCATAAAAGTAGCAGAAGACTTTGTATCTCCAGAACATGTAAAGCACTGTTTCCGCCTGACCCAGGAATTCAGGCATCTTTCTAACACTCATACAAACCATGAGGATAAACTGCAGGTAAATAACTCCCCCTTCATCCCTGCTCTGTCACCTCCTTCTCATACACAGAAAGCACATCCTCCTTCCTAAGGGTGTTCTCTCTCTGTCTGCTCTAGCAGTGAAGGAGAAAGAACTTGGGGAAACCATGTCTGGGAGATGTGCTCGAGTCCTCACTTCATGAGTAGTTATTTGGTCCTCTTCATTTTCTTTGTTCCAAGAATTCTTTTAAGCTGGCTAATTCCATTATGCCCGTTTTTAGTTTCTTTGCCTCTGAGAGGTACAGTGTTTTTAGTGTTAGTAACTTTCCCATTCATGTTTCTGAATATGAGATACTGTCCCAAAGCAGATTTCCATGCATCCTCCCTTCTTGACTATAATCTATGTCGCTAAGAATCTTACCTCAGAGGAGCAAGAATTGGTTTCACCTCATAGAGCCAAGCTTGGTAATCAGATTATGGTTCTTCCTTCTGCCCCTAAGATGGAGTGGAACTCTGAGGGCAGAATCGCATTATTAATACAGCTGGATGCTTTAGTGGGATAAAAAAGAACAAAGAATCTGAAAGCAGGGTTCTCTAGGAAGGTAACTGAATAAATACTCCCCACCTTGTGCTTGTAGCTAGTTTTTCCGCTTTGTGCCTGTAACACAAATATACATTCTTTGGGTGGTGATAGATCAGATTGGAAGAGGTTTTTCTTGGTTGGTGGATAGTCAGTTACCTTCAACTCTAAGTCATAGCTATTTTGCAATTCTCTTTTTCAAAAATAGGAAATAGTTCAGCCATAAAGTTATTATTATTATATAAACCATTTTGTTGTGTCGTATAGTCAGGACTGATCTTCCAACGCATTTTCAGAGGCAGTTTAATCACACAGGAGGAGATTACCCATCTCTATCTCACAGAGCAGCTGGCTGATTTGAACTGCGTGCCTTTGGGTCCAGCACAATTCCGTACCACTAAGCCACCAGATCTAAGTATATGTAAAGCATAGTAACATTAATATTATAATAGATTTCAGACCTTACTTCCTTCAGGGCCTATAACATGATCTTTCTTCACTGCTCATTCCATTTAGAATAACATCAGCTCCTATACCAGTACTCAATCCCCTTTCATTACTTTATTCTTTTATGTAGCTTTTCTCTATCTCATGTATTTTACCTATTTGTTTCTACTCTATTAGACTGTAAACTAAAGGATTTTTGCTTAATTCACTGTTTTTCCCATATTCAGTCTCTGACACATGGTGGTTTCTTAGTAAATATTTGTAGAATTAGTAAAACAAAGACCATAAGGGAAACTTGTGTGCCCATCACTCTGTTTAAGACATAAAGCATAATAAATGTTGCTGAAGTCCCAGTGTACCCTTTACCATTTCATTTCCCTTATTTTCCCTGCCCTAAGTAACCACCAGCTTGATTTTGGACCCTGTTAAAAATTGTCTTTAGCTTGTTCACTTTATTTTAATAATGCTTATCATATCTTCCTGTTTTACAACAATTTATAAATAATACATATCCTTAAAAAATTACAAAATATATGTATATATCATACTGGAAGCAGGAGTGGCATCCACTTCCTCCAAAAATATCCCATAATCCTACGTACCACATTGCTTCATTTCATTCAGCTGGGCACCTTTGACTAAGTTCTTGACTATAGAACCTTCATTTCCTCCATTGCTCATCTGTGAAATAGGCTTTATAATAGAATTTATAGATGATGATGAGGATTAAACAAGAATCCATATGAAGGGTATACCAGTAGTGCCCAGCACTTGGATGATAGTGATTATATATCCTTTCAAGTGATTCCATCTGATTAAAGACCTTTTCTGATTGAGGACCTGATGCTTTATGTGACTTGTCAGTTGTCCTAGGGATTGATTTGGGAAGTGTGTAGCCCTTGCTGGAGAATATTCTAACAAGTGAGCGTATAGTAAGTGTAGAAGACACACAGCCTGGGGCAGCTGTGGCCTGACTCTACTGATTGTTCTCTCCAGGTGAAGAACATCATTTACCACGCAGTGAAAGATGCTGTTGGCACCCTCAAGGCTCATGAATCCAAACTGGCAAGGTCTTAGGCATGGCAGAATTCCAGACTCTCCTGTGAAGCAGGTCTTTCACTCACAACACATACAGGGAACGGCAGGGGTTCTCTGCTGGAGCAGAGGCCTTTAACTCGGAGCCAGTGTGGTCAGTATTACAACCTCTCCAGCCACTCTTTTCTACGCTGCCTCAACACTGAAGATCGACACAGGAAAGTTGCACTGTTCACACACACAGTTTCAGAATCCACACTGAGGGCACCACATCCCATCCTGTGGCCTTTTGGAAATTCTAATTGCCAGGAAATCAATGGGCTTTCCTGCACATTCTCGTGATTTCAATTTCATGGAAACCAGGAATGTGGGCACATCTTTCTTTTCTTTTTCTCTCGTGCCTAGTTAGGTGGGAATGTGTTTGGAGGTAGGGGGTCATATAACTGGTACAAGTATGGGTAATTGCTTATACACACCTGGTGGAAGCCTGACAGTGTCTTTGCACATGACCTCTGATGCGGCCCATCCCAAGACACAGGGTGAAGCCATTCCCCACACTCCCGTGAACACTGGAGCCTTACAGAACCCAGGGAGAACCCATTGCTTTTCCCAGGAGGCTCCAGGATTAGGAAATGTGTGTATTTAGTGAAAAATAGGTTTGTAGTGAAATAGTTACTATTTCATGAAAGTAGATATTTTTAGAATTTTTGAAATACCACAGTTGTTTTCCTGGATTATGAGGAAAGGCACATTACATTTAGTCTTCCTTTCAATAAAAGTATTTGAAGAACTATGATTTTTAGACATCAGCTGCCCATTATAGCACAAAATCAGCCAAAGCAGAATTTAACAGAATTGGCTTCTTTGGATTCTTTTCATTTCTCCCCCTCCCATCATAGTCCTATCTTGAAGGAACAGTCATCTGAGAAAGAACTGTCATGTCTGAGCTGTGTTGTGTTCCACACGTACACACACTGGCAACTCCAGGAACCATGTTCACCCAGTACCAGCGTTCCCTTGGGACTCGTCACAGTTTTCCAAATGGGAAGGAGCATTTTATTTCCAACATGAGTTTTTGCTTTGTTTTAAGGGGGAATATTTTTTGTTTTGGGGTGGATTTTTTTGGTCCAGAAATATTTTTAGCAAAACTTTCCAACTCAGTGGAGTTTTATTAAGAATTTATTTGAAAATGATGGAATTCATTGGCCCATAGGTACATTGGGAAATGTATCTATCTTCTTCTCCAGCTGTACTGTAGTGCCCTGCAGGCTTGTTTATATGTTCACAGTTAACTTTTTTTTAAAAAAATAAAAGTCATTTACTGTAGAATACTTTAATTTCACTTTCTGTATTTTAATTTTGTTGAAGGGCTGATTGGGATTTCCATGTTCTTATTAAAAATCTAACAAATCTGTTTGGAGTGGACTAAATTCTTCTTGCGCCAACCATTCTAAAATCAAGATCAAATGGAGGGCAGGATTGAAGTATGATTGCTCATTACCCAATTATTGCTCTTTGCTTCCTGATCTTGGGCTCAACTAGGAGAAAGGGAAGTGCCAGGGTAAAATCAATAAGGTTAGGGACTTTAGGGTGAAGGAATGGGCCCACATAGAAAGGAGTATAGAAATTGTTGTTGTTGTTGTTGTTACGTGCCATCGAGTCGCTTGCGACTCATAGCGACCCTATCTACAAGAGCCCTAAACACCATTCTATCCTGTGCCAACCTCACCATCTCAAACGCACTCATTCCCACCACTTCAGTCACAGACTTGATCCATTTCATCGAAGGTGGTCTTCTCCTTCGCTGTCCCTCCACTCTGCCAAACATTATGTCCCTCTCCAAGGACCATTCCCTCCTTGCATCATGCCCAAAGTATGTCAGATGAAGCTTCAGAATCCTTGACTCCAAGGAGCATTCTGGCTTCACCTTCTCCAGGACAAACCTGTTTGTTCTAGCAGTCCATGGTTCAACACTCTTCTCCAGCACCACAGCTCAAAGGCATCAATTCTCTTTCTGTCATCCCTATTCACTATCCAACTCTCTGATGCGTAGCACGTAATTGCGAAGACTATAGCCCGGATCAGGCACACCTTAGTCTCCAGCCTGACATCGTTGCTCTTCAGTACTCTTGAGAGGTCCCTCACAGCTGACTTTCCTAATGCAATTCATCTCTTGATTTCCTGGCTGCTGTTACCAAGAGTGTTGATTGTGGAGCCAAGTAAACTAAAACTGTTAACTATCGCAGTCTCTTCACCATCCATACTGATGTTGCCAGTTGGCCCAGTGGTGAGAATGTTTATTTTCTTGATGTTGAGCTTCAATCCATATTAAAGACTGCAGTCCTTGACCTTCTGCAGCAAGCACTTCAGGTCCTCCTCAGTTTCGGCAAGCAGGGTTGTATCATCTGCATAATGCAGGTTGTTGATGACTCTTCCACGAATCCTGATGCCACATTCCTCTTCGTACAGCCCAGTGTCTCGGATGATCTGTTCTGCATACAGATTGAAAAGGTATTGAGACAAAATACATCCCTGATGGACCCCATTCTTGATTTTGAACCATGCAGTGTTTCCCTGATCTGTTCTGACGACTGTCTTGGTCTAAGAATAGGTTTTACATTAGCACAATCAAATGTTCTGGGATTCCCATTCTTCTCAGAGAAGCTTGTGGTCCATAGTCAAAAGCCTTTGCATAAAAAAAAAGCCTTTGCATAGTCAATGAAACACAGATAGACATTCTTCTGGTATTTTTTGCTTTCTGCCAAGATCCCTCTAACATTAGCTATAATAACCCTAGTACCATGACCTCTTCTAAATCCAGCCTGCACATCTGGCAGTCCTCTGTTAATTATAGAAATTAGAAGAAAGGTTTCCCCATAGTTATACTTCGTGAATGGAATGGGGAAAGTACAGTCCTACCTTCCTGGGGTAGAGTCTAGGGAAAGAGCCATAATGTGTGGCCTGAGCAGGATTTTGAACAGTCAGTTGTCTTCCTCAGTGCAGGAGGACTGCCCACATATGCAACATGTGGTGTTGAATCCACATTGGTGTTATCAGAAGGCCCAAATGAAATTTATTTTCAACAATTAAAGTGATTTGATTGGTGAGAAGAGACTGCATTCCAAACAGAAAAGGCCTTTTGGAAAGGAAATTAAGAATAATAAGATTTGTTATCAGAAGCTGATTCTGTGAAACATCTTTCTAACATTTGAGGCTGGCATTATAATTATCAGGGTAGAAATAGGATCATTGTGTGGTTCAAGCATACTGAGTGAATAGGGCCATGACGCTGAAATAGAGTGGTCTGAGTGTGTTCTTCTGGCTGAGATGGGCACAGGTTGATGCTGTATGGTCGCTATAAGGATTATAATCCATATAAAAGGTGGAGGGCTAAAGAAGCTTTAAAATAGGACAGAAAAAGAGAACAGTGATGTAGGGAAGAGGGGGAGGTGGAAGCTTGGTTGCTTTGAAAATTAGGAGGTGAGCTAGCCTACATTCTAGATATAAATGTTTCAAAATGAGGGCATGCAGCCAGTGCTTGCTGATGTGGTGAAACTGGAAGCCTGGGCCCCCTGTCCTACCAGGGTTTTGTTTTTGTCCCTCTGTTCAAAGAGATCTGGCTCCTCCCCCACTAAGGCTATCTGTCCACTTGGGGAGCACCAGAAACTGTTCCTCTGCAAATGTTAGGGAGGAGATGGGAAGGAGCCCTCTTCTGCCTAGGGGGATTAGTAATCATTGAGAAAAAAGTTGGACTAATGCAGCTATCCCTTTGACTTGAGCTTTTACGTTAGTGTCTACAGGGTAGGGGGGTTTGAGAATCAACAACTGGTAGGCTATTCATGGTTCAAATCCATGATGCACCAGGGAGAGGGATGGGCAGTCTCCTCCCATACAATTTACTGAGCATGAAACTCCCCGAGGGTCAGCTGTGTGTTGGTTCCGACTCCAGAACTTGACAGCAAACAAGCCTATTTACAGTTAATTTCCTGGGCTATGATAACAGCATGCCGGTGGTTTTATGACCCAGTGCAAATTATTTACCTGTTTCCCATTTCCTTACCTTCAAAATTAGGATAATTATAATATCTGTTTATAGGACAGTCATAAGAAATCACTAAGATGATAGCTTGTGAAGCACTAGCACAGGTCCTGGCACACCATGAACATTCAAGAAATTATTCTTTTTCCTGGTCTTTTAAAGCCTTTCAGCCTCGTGTAGGCAGCGCAGGAGATGAACTAGGACTGGTAACTGCATGGAACAGTGAAGTTCTGTGAGGACCGTAACCCTGGACTTGGAATTGGAGAAAGAACAAGCAATTAGGGGGAGGCTTGGTGCGGAGCGTCAGAGGCGCATGCCCGGCGACAGCAGGTGCAGGGGGCGCACCGCTGCCGCCGACGCCACCGCGGCCTCCCCTTTAAGAACCGCCGCCACCCACGGCCCGCCGCTGCGGTACAGACCTCCCCTTTAACGGCGGCGGCTTCGCGCTCCGCTGCCCCCGCGGCGGCTGCTGCTGCTACTGCGGCTCCTGCTGCCGCTGCCGCCCGGCCTCGGGCAGCTGCATCCTCCGGGCCGGGTTCCCGCCCCGCCCGGCCTCGCTATGGTGTCCTGGATCATCTCTCGCCTGGTGGTGTGAGTGCTGCGGCGGCCGGGCGCGGCCGGCCCGTTAGGAGGGCACTGGGGGCTCCGAGGGATGGGGGCTGGGGGTAAGGCGGGGGTTGTTAACGCCTGGGATGGAACACCTCGCGGCATACAGCAGAGTCCATTTATAAGGCACATCATCCCTAAGGGGTCCCCATGGACAAGAAGGTATGGGACGCAGGATTGCAGGAGCGAACATGGGAAGCATGACAGGCCAGCCTTCCCAAGAACCTCACTCCTTTTATCTTCTGCCCATTAAGCACCCTGCACCCTCTCCTGTCCTTGGAGCTACCAGGCTTGATGTATAAGGGGAGACAAGTATACCCCTCCCCCCACCTCTCAGGCCTGGCTGGAAAAGCTCCTCAGACCTGAACCCTTATTTCCTTCGGATTGTGGGGGGCCTGGCAGGGCGGCCTTATCACTCCCGTGGACCCATTCCATAGATTAAAGCCATTGCCAGCTCTTTTAACCAGCCCTCCCAGGGGCTCAGACCCTGCTCCAGGCACTGTCAAGAGACTAAGGGGTGAGGGCACATGCTTTGAAGGCCTACAGCCTCCTAGGAAGGACATCTCTAACCTGAGATGCTTGGAAGACAAAGTGTGGGAGGTAACAGGGAGAGTATGTGGGTTCCCTGGAACTGTGAGAGCCACTGGAGGGAGGACATTAGGTGGCCTTTATTTTAGCTTGCCAAGCCACAGCATGGAACTATGCCCCAGTCACCTCCTCCCAGGCTGGAGAAAACCACACCCACGACCCTGAACTTGAGGGTTTTGCACCTCTTCCTCCACATTCCACTCCCCCAATACAACCCAGCTGCACAGGCCATTTTGGAAATACCGTGCCTCAATCATGCAGGTCCACGTGGGCACCTATATATTGTTAAGGAAACAGCCTGACAGTCAATAGCTTCCCTCAGCAAACCCCTGCCCTAGCTCAGGACTTTGCTCCTCAGCCTCCAACTTGAAGGAATGACGCCCCACCCTACACCCCCGCCCCCAGCATTCCCTCCCTACTGCTTTCTCCTATTCCTCCAGTGCTGTCTGATCAGCTGTGTCCTCCCTTCCTCTGTCCCTCCTTCCCCCATCTCCTGCAGTCTTCAGAGTGGCTGTTTCGCTCTTGCCCCACGAAGTTCCCTGAGGAGCATCAGCCCTCTCACGCCTCACCCTGAGTCTTGACTGTGGTTTTTAATGAGATCACCTGGAGGCCTCACTCCTGCCAGGGCTTACCCTGAGCCCTGTCCTGAGTTTACCTAAGGGACTGAACCTTTTCACCCTTTGCATTGCAGGGCCTCCTGCCCCCATGTCCTCTGCTCCGCAGGGCCACAGTGGTGCCACTGACTTCTAGACACCGCACTGATAGGTGGTGTCCAGTTCCAATGCAGAGCTGGCCCTGCCCTGCCCAATTCTGAGACAGCGAGACAGAGTAAGGGCAAATGTACACAAATAGGCATGATCTGGGAAGAGAAGAAATCCCATTGGTGTGGCCAGACCCCATGATATGTTTGTGCATAGCCAAGGGGGTTGGACTCTGATGTCTCTGTGCTTCCTTCAGGAGAAAAACAGTGGTGGAAGAAGGGCATTTAGCTATATCACCTGAGTCATGGCTGCTTGTTAACTTCTGACCTGAATCATCACTCCTGCTAGTAGATGTGCCACTCTGGAGTTCTGTCCTTTCTCTCCTTATCTACCCAGAGACTTTTGCAGAGTTGGGAGGGAGAGGCCACTGCCTCTGACAGAAGGACTCTGTAACCATGCCTGCCTCCCTAGGCTCATCTTTGGCACCCTGTACCCAGCCTATTCTTCCTACAAGGCCGTGAAGACAAAAAACGTGAAGGAATATGTAAGTGCATGACCCCGTCACCTCTCCCTCAACCCACATGGTAGAGGAGGGAGGACAGAGGATCACGTTACAAATGAGTGGCTTCAAAACAATGCTTGCCAGCCACCACCAGCAAGATCCTGGGTCAAAGAAGGGTCCCGGGTGTTCATCCCCCGGCCTTGAAATGATCTGCAGGCAATGTTAAGGTCTTCGGTGTCCCTTTCCTCAGCGGAGTTGGCAGGTGGGGATCCTGGGTGTCCTCCTGCCTATCGCTGCCTTGATCAATAGGACAGAGTTGGGGTCCTGGGTGTTCCTGGCCCCTCAACCCAGGCCCCGGTGAACACGGCCCTCTGCACCCTCAGGTGAAGTGGATGATGTACTGGATCGTCTTTGCCTTCTTCACCACAGCTGAGACGCTCACAGATATCGTGCTTTCCTGGTGAGCTCCAGAATCCCCTCCCTGAATCTCAGGGTTCAGGGCCTCTTGACTTGTTCTACCCAAACAGAAGAGAGAGACTCAGGGTGGGGCTCCTCCACATTCCCAGGGGGGCCTGGCTGTCTGAATAAACACAGACATGACTCCCACATTATTTTCTGGTAGCAGCTGAAGTACTGCCGTAGAATTCAAGAGATCTGCATTTGCCACAGTAGCCAAGAGATCTGCATTTGCCACAGTAGCTGTGACCTCAGACGGGTCACATCACTGTACTTCACTTTCCCTACTTGTAAAATAGAGGTGTGATTCAGTCCATAGAAACATTGGATGCTTGTATTTCAGAGGCATTTTTCCAGATCCTGCTAGCCTGTAACAATAAACTGGAGCATGGGGATCACTAGGATGTGCTGGACAGGCACTGTTCCAACCTGTGGTTCACAGGGTCGCCATGAGTCATCAGCAACTCAACAGAATCTAACAACAACTAGATTATGTATGAGCACTTTGAGAACAGGGACTATGTCTTAATGTCTTAACCATCTGCATATGTATAGCAGGAACTCAGAATTTTTATTGAATGGAAAAAAATGTCTTTGGAAGAGAAGACCAGTGAAGTGCAGAAATATTGGAAGTGAAAAGGAGAGTGTCACAGAGAGTAGAGACAAAAGGTCATGCATTTGTAGCTTCTGAGGTCTTTATGGCTTTTGAGAATAAATTGTTTTGGTAGAGGAAGGAGCAGGTCAGGTTAGAAATGGAGGGAGGGTAGTGAGAGGTTTGATGATGGCCTTGTGGGGGTGCAGAAGGCCTGGAAGGGTTTGTAGTGTTTACAGACTGGTCCTTAAAAGCAAGGGGCATTCGTGCCAAGGAGAGACGTGCCCAGAGCACATCTAGGGAGGCTGTATCTGCTTCGGGGGAGGGAGCTCAGGAAGGGCAGCTAGCGAAGGCTCATGTGTGGATCTGGAAGGTTAAGGAGGACACTTTGAAGGTGCTGACCCCAGCACAGAGGACACTTTGAAGGTGCTGACCCCAGCACAGAGGATACTTTTTAGGGGTGAAAAGGTGGGAATGTAATCACAGGATCACACAGTTTGATGGGTGGAGGGAGTGGTGGGTTAAGGAAATGGCAAAGACCCAGTGTGGAAAAACAATGTATACAGAATTTGTAAGTAAACCAGAAAAAAAAATAAAAAGTTATCATTTTAAAAAAAAAAGAGTGACAGAGTAGACTTGGAGGAGGGCAAGGACAGTCCTTTGGAATTCCTTTGAGGTCACCAATCCACTTCACATTTTGCCTCTCAGCCTGGTTCCCTGGTGCTCTGAGAGGTGGGAAGACATGAGGGGCCACGTGGGACGATGGCACCCACCTGATCTGCCCATGCTCTGCCAACTGTGTTTGTCTCCCCCACCCCTAAAACCAGGTTTCCTTTCTACTTTGAACTCAAGATCGCCTTTGTGATATGGCTGCTGTCGCCCTACACCAAGGGGTCCAGCGTGCTCTACCGCAAGTTTGTGCACCCGACACTGTCCAACAAAGAGAAGGTTTGTGCCCACGTCCAGCCTCTCCTCCCAGCCTACTCGAGACCATGACAGCCCCAGTACCTCTAGTCACATGCATTTCCAGATCTCCCCTGCACCCTGGGCACAGAATCTAAAATGACCTGTCAGTGCATTCAGCCGGGTGCGGGGGAACAAGGATGGGGACAGGCCCTTGGCAGAAGGGCTCACCTCCTCCTTCCCCCCGCCCTCAGGAGATTGATGAGTACATCACACAGGCCCGGGACAAGAGCTATGAGACCATGATGAGGGTGGGCAAGAGGGGCCTGAACCTGGCTGCCAATGCCGCGGTCACAGCTGCTGCCAAGGTGAGGCTCTCAGGCCCTACCCCTTGACCACCCTCCCACCCCTTCTGCATCTGCCCGTCTTCAGGGCTGTGGGAGCTTTGGGCTTGCACAGATCTGCATGCAAGTTCTGGCCCTCCCACTGTCCAGCCGTGTGAACTCAGGCAAGTCACTTCTGCTTTCTGAGTCAGTTTCCTCATCGGTAAAATTTAAAAAGGAGAAAACAGCACCAGGCCCTCACACTGTTGCAGGACTGGGTGAGGACAGTGGGGGGCGCACTGAGCCCTGGGCCTGCTGTCCACACCATGGTGACCTCTCTCTCCACCCCGCCCCTCTCCCCCCCGCTCCCCCGGTGCGTGGTGGTGACCCCAGGGCCAGGGGGTGCTGTCAGAGAAGCTGCGTAGCTTCAGCATGCAGGACCTGACCCTGATACGCGACGAGGACGCGCTGCCTCTGCAAGGGCCTGAAGGCCGCCTCCGCGCAGGTTCCGGCAGCCTCCTGGACACCATCGAGGACTTGGGTAAGGCGGAGCCCTAGCTGGGGCTGGAGCCCGGGGAAGCCAAGCGCAAGAGACCCTGGACTCCATGTCCCCTCTCTCCCCCAACCAGGAGATGACCCTGCACTGAGTTTAAAGTCTAGCATGAACCAGGCCGACCCCAGGACAGAAACCTCTGAGGATGACACAGGGGACAAGGCTCCCAAGAGAGTCAAATCCATCAAAAAAGTGTCCAAAGTGGAGGTGAGAGTATGCACCAGAGCTGGGGAGGCAGGGAGGAAGGCAGCTCCGAGCTGTCTCCCTCCCTTCTTCCCTCTGTTTTCATCCCTCCTCCTCACAGCCGCTGGCTTCCAAGACCCTGAAGACCCGGCCCAAGAAGAAGGTATCTGGTGGGGGTGACTCAGCTTGAGGTCCCTCATCCCCCCACCAGCTGCAGGGCAACAAGAAAGCCCCAGCTCCTGCTCCACAGATGTGCCGGTGGGCAGCTAGCTGTCTCAGGCCTGGGGGCCCCTTCAGGTGGCCATTTCTGATGCCTGCCCCAGTGGCTGCTCCTCCACAAGGGGCTTGGAGAAGAAGAGGGAGGCCCGCTGTGGGGGGTCCAGGCTGGACTGAGGGCTGAGAACCAGCCATCCAAGGAGGCGGGACTCCTGGGAGCCTGCACCTTTCTCTCCCGCCCTGCCTGCCCTGCCCACCCAGTGCCTTGCCTTGTGAAGACCATGGCCATGCCCTTCTCTGAGATCCTATCACACACCTACTGTTCTCCCCAGGGAGTGGGGCAGCGCCCACTTGGACTGAGGTCTCCAGAAGAGTGGGAATGAGTGGGGAAGGCCTTGGGCAACCTGGGCAGGCCTCCTGGCCTTTGCCACCTTGTGTAGGGGTTGGGGTGTGCTAAATGACTCCGATGACCAGGCTGGAGCTGGGGGCTCCTCCCGGGCATCAGATGGGGCCCTTTGCTACATATCCCCACTAGGAAAGAGTTAGGGGGTTGTGAGAGTTGGGGATAGGGGAGGGAGGTTGAAAGTGTGATGTGAGTGTGTGTGTGTGTGTGTGTGTGTGTGTGTGTGTGTGTGTGTGTCCGGTTCTAGGGCTATGAAGAGTTTAGGTCCAGGGCATTCCCTCCAGGAGGTCTCTTCCCTATTCTCAGCCCTACAACCAGCTGGCCCTTCCCTTTCCCAGCCAGCCCTCCTAGTGTCTGATGCTCAGGGGTTCCAGGCTGAGATAATTGGCTCTAAGGGGCTACTTCCCTTCCCCTCTGTCCTAGACGCCCCCTTCATTCCTGCCTCTCCCCCGGGGTGGGCTCTGGGACCCTTTGGGCAGTCAGAGCCTGCGCTGAGCTTGCAACTTCGCTCTTCACCTGGAAGCGCATGGGCGTCCCTTCCCCCAGGCCACGTCCTGTGCCAAGCTCACTGGGCTCTCTGTGAGCGGACTCTGCCAGAGCCCAGCCTTCCCTCATCCCCGCCCCAGCTTCTGCCATGGCTGCAGTCAGGGTCAGGAGCAACATATGAAGAGGAAAATTCATTCAGGAGCCACGGGGCTCCCGATTCTGTGGAAATAGGGTGAACATTGGACCTCTGACACTGGATAAGCCAATAAACGGAACTCTGGCACCTCTGTTTTTGGGGCTTCTGTGCTTTATTATGCTGTTCAGTACACAAGTGATAGGCAAGGCTCAGCTGGGGAGGGGCGGGGTGAAAGGAAGACAAACCCCAAGAACTCTCATCTCCAAGGTAACAGAGCTTGGGCTGGTTCCATCTGAAAGAATGTATTTGAGACAGAACCAGGGACCTATGAGGGGCCAAGGACTGTCTTTACCCTCGGGATTCTCTGAAGCTCCCCTCCCCTAGTGGACTTTCTAGTATCCCAGTAAAATTGCCAGATAGAGACTGGGGGTCAGGGAGGACCCACCCAACACCTCCCACTCCCTAACCCCGGAAAAGAGAATGGGATTTAGGGCTGCCTAGCAGGGCCCGAGGGCTGAGTGGCTACAATACATAGAAAAGCCAAGAAAAGATGGGGGGAGGGCATGTAAACCAGATCTGAGAGGAGATGGGAGAGGCATGGGTTGAAAGCCAAGGCTGTGGAAGGCCTATCTCTATAAATCAAAGGAGGAAGACAGCAGGAAAGGCAGGGAACCAAAGACGGGGACCAAAGAGGCAAGTCCTGGTGAGGACAGGGACAGGGTAGGCTCTGAAATGCTGGCCTAGGAACAGCAGAGAAGAGGTTTATGTCCTCACTGAATACACAGAGCCCTCACCACTAGGGGTCAAGAAGCAGAATTGGTTGTGCATGAAACTCTAGGAGGCCAGAATACAGGAAAAGGGGAAGGGCTGGAGAAAAAGAATGGAGGGGGACAGTGGAGCAGAGAAAAAGCCGCTCTCAGTCTTGTGGAGGAAAATGGAGGAAGCAGAGCATGAGGGTGGGAGTGGGCACCCGAGGCTGGCCCCAGTCCTGGCATCACAGGGGTGTGTGTGCCACACCTGAGCCAAGCTAGCCAAAACCCTCTTGAAATGAGGCTCTGCTCAGGGCCGGAGGTGAGAAACTCCTCTCATCTTCCCTGGAATCTTCCAGAGGTCACTCCTTTCACCACCAATGTGACCCACTTTTCTATCAGAAAAGAGAAGAAGGTGCCAGTGTAGAATTCAGGGGAGAGATTCCCTTGTTCTGAAAAGATCCCCGGAGAGTAAGATGCTGCAGTCCTATCCTCACAGCTGCCACATGGCTGGGAAACCAGGTTAGACCCTGTACAACCTACATTCCATTGCTGCTTCTCACTCACACTCAGACACAGCCTTGTGCCCCGTGTGACTGGTAGCCAAGGTCACTACCAGGATTAGGTCAGCAAAGCACCTCACACTGCATGCACATCCGGGTTTCTCCCTGTCAGCAGGAACATGCTTAGATTTCCAGGCCCACTGGTTTGTTGCCATGGAAACATGCAGGCTTCTAGAACTCTAGGCATACAGCCTGGCCCCCGTGGTGCAGGGGAGGAGAAGAGAGAGAAAAGGTGCCAAAAAAATGGCTAGAAAGGTTCCAGGGAGGCCTGTGGGACACTGCTGGACCTAGATGACCCCTTGCTGTCTCCTCATTCCCAGGATTACCTGTCCTCTTCCTTTCTGCCTCAGTAGACCTTTTCAGGCCAGTGACACAGGGAAGAGATGTCAGGACAAAAGCATGAAGGTCAGAGCTATGTGTCAGAGCTGTCAGTGAGGGGGCTAGGTCACTGGGGGAGGGAGATGTTCCTGACAGGTATGGATGTAGGGCAGGGACTGAAAGTGAGGTCTAATCTTGTGTCCCCCAAGCCAGGTGTCTTTGGGGGACACTGACAGCCCACAGCCATGAGGCTCCCATCTATGATGACTCAGGCAGGCCTCACACTGCTTCCTCTGGCTCTCCCTCCCTCTCTGGTGGGTGCCCCACACTGGGAGAACCTGCTTAAAATGGGATTTCCAAGCTGTGACGTCAGAGGAAAGCCAGCAGCTCCAGCCTGTGCCAGCTCTCTTCTGATCACCAGAGCCAGAAAGGAGGGGTAGACAGAGGAAGAGCGAGCTCTGTGGGCCCTGGGCCCTGGTCTCCTTGTCTCAGGCATCCGAGATGATAGGAAGAGACTATTTCCAGGCCAGAATCCCTTTCTGGCTTCCGAGAGCCAAATAAAGATCATTACTGAACAAAATGTCCTTAGTGTCCTCTCTGAATCTCTCCTGCTGTATAATCTCTGTTTTGGTCCCCACTGCCTGCAATTTCAGCCAGACAAGAGATTGCCCCCTCACCTTGTCAGTTGCCATAGTCTTTCCCGATCTGTCCCGAGCTAGGTCAGATTTGCCTAAGGGAAGAGTCACTTCAGGTCCTCAGGGCCAGACAGCTGCTTTCTTTCGAGTCCTCCCGGAAAGCATCTCATTAGATCTTAGGCTGAAAGCTGCAATGTTGAGAGCCATCTGCAGGAAAGGGGAACGTCCACTAGATGGCGCAGCTTCCCCCCACATTCTGTCGCCTCTCGGGAGACAACCTGCAGCCGATTGGCTCCGCGCTGGAGGTGAGCGAGTATCTCAGGCTCCACTCCCTGGAGTTAGATGCTCATCAAGAAAAGCACCCTTGTGGGTGGACAGGACAGGACAGGACAGCTGTGAGTCCTCAAGCAATCGTTACCAGCTTCCTAAACGCAGACTCCATGCGCCCATTCTGCCCACTTCTCACAGGAGACGGACAGATCCAGAAGGCAGACGTTCCCTTGTGGTGAGGACCAGGCTTTCCTCCAGGAAATGAAACGTTGCTGGGCTGAACTGAGAGGGCAATGAGGCCTAAGGGACTCGCTGGGATTCTAATGTGGCATCTAGAGCTTGTTTCAGGGAAGGTGGGGACAGGGACACAGCTAGAGGCTGCAGCCCAGGAAGGAAAACTGAGAATGACGAGAAGTCCACACAGCTGCAGTTTCCCTGACGATGACCCCACGTTTCCTGCCCCTGCCCCTTCCCTTATTTCTATCTGGGGTACTGTGGGATTAAAAAATGAGATAAAGACATTAGTCCCCAAACTCTGGCATGTTTTCAGGGGCTGAGGGTAGGGCTCCTGGGTGAGTTACCTTTCCCTGACCTCTTTCCCAAGCTGACCTGAGCAGTGGCGCATCCCCTATGGATTACCCTCTCTTTTGTCACAGCCAGAGGAATAATCAATAAATAATGCTGCCTGAAATATTGATGAGGGTTTTACACCAGCATCGTTTAGCTCTGTCTGTCACCAGGGAGCTCTTGGTCCCTGCTCAGCCCAGACAGCTTCCCTGTCTCTCCCAACAGGTCTTTCTCCATCAAAATTTTAACTCATTCCTTTCGTCTCCAGGATCATGATTCAGTCCCATCTACTGAGAATACATGAACCAGAGATAATGTCAACCAGCTGCCCTGGCTGGGCAGATGGGGCAGCTTCCTAGAGAAGACTGGGGTGGGGGTTCACCTAGACCTTTCTGATAACTATTCCCCAGTAATGCAATTATGAGCCCGTTTCCTTGGCTCCGTGAGCATCTGGAACCTGCCAGCTCGGGTTTCTCAGCCGCAGATTCAAAAAGAGGCCAGACCTGTGGCTTCAATGCCCACCCTCCAATTCTCCAGGGAGTCCCTGAGCATAAGGGATGCACTGAAGATCAAGCTCCCAGATTCTTTAGACTCAGATCAGCCTCATCTGAGTTTGACCTCCTGGAAGGAGGGATGGAGAGGAAAGCAAGAGGAGGTGGGGAGTAGGAGGAGGCAGTGAAAATTCTTGAGCCCTGGGAGCCCAACTCACCTAGCATTGGCATCCTTACGGAAGACAAGCCCCCTCAAACCTCAGCATGTACAATTTCTTCTAGTGGAAGTGCACCTGGTCAGCCCCTCATGTATATTTCACATTCCAGCTCAGTTGTGACTCTCCCACGGCACCCCCACACTGCCAGATGCCCT